TTACATGGTCACAGCTATCTCATAAAAAGCAGAGATTTGCAAGCGTTCATCCGAAAGCGTTGTTCGTTCGGTTTCAAGCAAATTGCAATGAATAAAGTTGAAATGGTGATGTGATGTAGACATTTGTTACGTGCGCATGTAAACTAATGTATACGAAAGTTACACCATGCAAGAAATTTGGTCGAGGCACAAGGAAGGATGAATGATTATTTTGAATAGCATTGTTATATGAGATGAATATCCAGGAAGGTATTGACAAGTGTGTTCTTTGTTTTTCTTGTATGGGCTGAACGCGAAAACATACCAACGAGCGCACCTCTTGGGGGATCATTTACTTTCGGAATTATTCGCAATTATGCATAATACCTAATTTCTATAATAAATAATAATGATGAGTCTTTCAATATGCGTTTTTTTAACGTGTTGGACGTACTGTACGTACTTACATACATACATACATACATACATACATACCTGATACATACAGTACATACATACATTTATACGTAACCACGGTATAACCTGACATCATGAACCTCGCAATCTTGAAAATGATAACGTGCGAATTAATATAATATGCATGATGCATTTCGGTTCTTTAATCCGGATCTCGCGCCCTCCTGCGCTGCACCACCAATTACGATGTGATATGTCATTAACGCACCACCCAATGAATAATTACATCCTAATGTCGTCGACAATAATCTTTCGCCTTAAAATAAGAATGTCGGGTGAACGTCTGCCACAGCCACAACAATGATGCATTTTGAGAAACGCTCGGCATGGTAACCCAAGCTGCATCATTGTTTAAACTCTTCTATGAGATAAATTATTCGCGTGAAACTCAACTTTATTGTGCTGGCGTTATTTGGGAAAGCGCATAAGCGCGCACGCAGATAGTTTGTGCATTTTTTCGAGCTGTACTTTTTGTTGTTACAACGACGATTGATAAATCTGGCCTCGGCGGTACTGTGTTAATTAATGTTCAGAGGATAACGATACGACAATAATAACAATGTCAACGATTGTTCGATCAGTTAATTATTTCACGACCTCATTTGGTAATCCAATTATTGAGCTTTCTACTCATTACACCCTTCAACATTCATCCGTCCAATGAAAAGCCGAGGATCGATTCATCGACAAAAAATGATTCCTTGGTTTTTCCCTGATCTTCCTTTCTTTACTCTTTGGAGGGTGGTGATTACACACACGGTATTATAATCGAACTAATAATTATACAATAATCGTCATTGTTGTAAACGAGTATCTGTCATGAATGTATTTTTAGAATGTCATCGACATTTTATTGTTTTTTTATTCTCTTTTCCTTTGTATTTGGAGAATAAATGAATTCTTGATATGGAAATTATGTAAGGGTGCTTAGTGTGGTGGGGCAAAATTTCAAAGACCAAAAACCTTACAATGTAGAAGGAATGGTCAACCTTGAAAGTGATACCATTTTCACTTTCATTTCATTTTGATGATACCAACATCCTTGTCATATATTCCTAGACAAATGTCAAACATTGGTACTCGTAACGGTGAGAAGATATGCATTCAATTAACAAAAGGATACAAACATAGCAAGATTCACATCCAGAGTTTGTTAATTAACAGAAAATCGTTGTGCGTGAGGTGAGTCTAAATAAAAATTTAACCGCAATGGTTTTGGGGTTTTGATAAGCAGGAAATTTTAGGTGTCATCAAGTAATCAATCACATGACCTTTCGAGTTACCATTCCTTTCGGTGACAACCATTCATCTTTATCACCAAACCAACCGATGGCAAGTACCCGCTCGCCCCAAGGCGGCTCTGCGATCAGGATTGATTGACCTGATCCTGACAAACTTATTTCAGACCACCCATCCACCCGCCCAGCCACGCAAACGCACCCCGCATGCACTGGGATGCATGTGCTAAACCTTGTTGATGGATGTCATCAAAGATGCCATCGCAACATCAAAATAACTAAAAAAAAAAAAAAATACGGCAGGGGGAAAGGATGATCAAAGCGGTCGAGGAGGCATGAAGAAAAACCGTTCATGTGAGGGTGTTTCGAATGTACGCACAAGAAAGAGATCCAAATATACATCGATTATCAATATCACCGAGAGCGGTGATGCCTGTTCATCTAGGTGATCGCTTTTTTTAAAATTATTTTGCCTACACAATGTATCTACCATGTATGCTCACCAAGTTTACATCTAAAAATACAATCATCCGTCGTCACATAATATTTAAGAATTACACGCATACACGTTATATATTTGCACGGTACACGAATTTACGCGAAGAATCGCACAAATCATCATTAACACCCAAATTTATTCTTCCCGTGCACGGAAATGTAACCACCCACAAATTGGTTTTACAATCTGTGTTTTTATTAACTCAACGTCGACAAACACGCTTCCAGAAAAATACTAATTATCGTGAACGTAAACAATAGATAATCAATTTAATGGGAAATTGAATGAACTTGACAAATTTGAAATTTAACCTACACCCAAACCACCATCATCTTCTCCTTCAAGGTGAATGGTCTGTTCTTAGAATGTGCACGATTTGGGCTTAAATCATGCTTACCCGCCCGTCGACATCCGTAATTGCTAATGCAACTCCGGATCGTATTTATCAATCGATCATTGATTGTTTCATCTCATTTCTCATTCATTAAGATACCATTTTTACAATCA